CAGCCCCGCCTGGACAAGGTCCTGTGCAGCCTGCTGTAGGTGACCCTGCTTCGGCAGGAGGGTTGGACTAGATGACCCACAGAGGTCCCTTCCAACCCCTACTATTCTGTGATTCTGTGATTCTGTGATTCTAACCCCGGCAGGCACCAAGGGGGTCCGGTGGCGTCTGAGACCTCGAGCCCTGGAGGTTCAGGCTGCCTCGAAGCTGTCTGTGAATCTCCGCTATTAAAATGTCATTATTCTGACTATAATGCCACTTAATAAACCAGGGAAGGTGGCGATTAACAAATGCTACAGCAACAAGCGCTGCGTAAACAATTAAGTATTTCGTTGTGTTAAAACTCTGCCGTTTCAACACGTTGATGGGGGTTTGCATCAGCATGCTCAGATCTGGGTTCTTGCAGCTCGGGCTGTTGATTTATCGCGGTACGACCCCCAGCAGCCCGACCCGGGGACCGGCTCCCGTTCCGTCACAGCTTTGCACCCGCGGGTCCCGCTGAAGGGGACGCTGTCGCCTTCCTCCTCCTGATTTGGGGGGAATTCGTCTGCCTGGGGGTGCGAGCGGTGGCTGCGGCGGGGGCCCCGCTCCGGCAGCACGGTGACAAGGAGCGTAGTTCGAGTGGTCTGTTTGGTAACGTAAATAACAGACCGACTTTGCTTGGTAGGACGGACTAAATGTATTTTTTCTCAGAACAGCCAATTCATTCCCTATGCCGATGTCCTGACAAGCTCTCGGCTAATAACACTCCGCTTCGGAAAAGCCTGGGAGGTCTCAGAGGGTTTCATGGATGTTAAAAAAAGTTTAAAAAGTCTCAGAGGGTTTTATGGACGTTAAAAAAATCTCAGAGGATTTTACAGATGTTAAAAAGGGTTAAACAAATGAAAAAAGGGTGTTGTCAGCAGAGAAAACCAGAGAGGGGACCTGTTCGGAGTCCCCCCTTCTTGCGGCCCGGCAGCTGGAGTCCGCCCCCCCCCTCTCGCTGCCGTTTCCAGACAAAAGGTCCCGGCCGGTACCTTCGGGGGACGTGGGTTTCGGGGCGCGGGGTGATGGCCATGCAAACCATTTTATCACAATATCCTTGATGCCCTCCATGTAAACCAGCAGCGTGTCACCTGCCTGCGCGCAGCGTCTTGTTTCCTCCAGGTTTTGCTTTGTAATTCCAGCATTTATCCCCGTTCGGTTGTTGCCTGTGCCCTCTTGCCTGCCTCTGGCCCCTGTGCAGGGGTGCCAGCCCGGCACCAGGCATGACTTCGCAGGAGGACATGAGCCCGTGGCGAGCCCTGTGCTGTATTTCGGGAGTCGGTGCTGCAGGAGCTATATTTATGGTAGCCATATGGTGG